GTCATACTCTGTGTTTGAAATACATCTATTAAAAAAGAAACACCTTATCACCATCTCATCCTATTTCAGCAAGTCCTGTGAAAATACTTAATCTGACCATCTGTTAAAACCTCCTAGAAAATACGCTCTGATTTATATGTCAGTAGGGCCACATACATATGCGTTTTAAGGTGCCTGTATATATTTTAAGGCAACTTTTTCTGTTATACTAAGAAAAGATGACTGAGGAAGTAGTACTGTGCGATACTTTAAAGAACTAAATCGTAGCATGCTAATGAATATACACAGCACATGAAGATTAATCTGTCATTCTTGCAGAACACAGGAATCCTTTCTTTTGTGCAGTAGCAATCTGAACAGAGTTTAAATGCCTCTACTCGTGAATGTGTTGAACATTAGATATCCTAACTGCAATGCATTTGCATGTTTCTGGTCTTTTCAGAAGAGTCTACAAGTATTCAAAATCTTATACAGTTTGGGATGTCAATTTTAATTATTCTACTAAGACTTTCTAAGGGGAAAACAGACTTTTAAAGGAACCTGGATTAAAGCCAACTAATATGACAAGTAAACAGATCACAGGTCATGCTATTCATGCTCTGCCACAGTAAAACAGTAGTTATCACACCTGAAACTTTAAATATTAATAGTCACTTCCACAAATTTGAGAAGTGCATATGAAGAACAAGCTAAAAAATTAGTTTTTTCTTTCTAGATTTTAGAAAGTTAGCTACTAACATCTGACTATATTTAACTGCATGCTGTATTACATTGTTGCTACACGAACAAGTAACTACTGGCAGGTTTAAACAAGCAAGAGAGCAGGAAAAAGTACAGTGAGAGTATTTAAAACTTCAGAGAAAAACAGTCCCAACAGAAACCTGAACAGACTTACCATGGATTCTGTTCTTCCAACAACAGAAAACCACATTTTGATCTCCGGGACTACAGATCCTTGAAAGAAAAAAAACAATTCTCCACTTCTCTTCCAGCCCTCAACAGCAACCACCGCTCTAGTCTGCTGGATTTTCCAAGATACCCATCAAGATAACTCGGAGCTGGATGCTATGACACAGTGTAGCGTTTATCAACACCAGCTATAACCAATACAATATTCAGACTCTTACGTAATCAGTTATGCTGTTCTGACTTCCATTTACTTTAGAGGCTTTATTAAACTTTGAAAACTGCTAGAAAAAACAAAAAGGGAGCCCTTTTGTACAAGAGACAAAAAACCTCCAAATTAAACAGGAAGTAATGTGCTGGCCCACAGATGGCTAAGAAGTCACATGCGAAAGCCCCCAAAAAGCGATATATTTTTAAAGTAAACTGCATGCACATGCTGCTTCCAAATCATCTGGATTTTATAAAAACTTAACCGCAATGTGGTTGGGAGTCAGGCAGCTTTTAACATCAAAACATCTTTCAGGGTTAGAGCAACCAAAGTCTGCACACAACCTCCAAAAGCAATACTGTTCCCAATGCCCGACCACTCCTACCGACTCCATTTCCATATACCTATTACAACAGCTACCGCTAATAAAGCTACAGGAGTATTACTGTAAGAAAACATGCAACACTTACAAAAGGGTAGGACAAGCAGCTAACTTTGGGTCACATAACATCTGAAGCTACATAATTTAACTTTAAAAAAAAATAGATCTATGTGTAAAGTATTCTGTCTGAGAAATGCTGTTAGGTATTTTCTCAATTTACACAACCAAAGCAAAATCCAAACAAACACAACAGTGTTTACAGTGCTCTGGCAGCTAACAGTTGTTTCATAACTCAACTTGTTTTCTCTGGTATGTTTGCATACAGTGTACATGCTTACTGCATGGTTGCTCAAAGGGGCTGTCCTGCCTCAGAAAACACCCTTACAGCAAAGTGAGGTGAACTAGGTGATGCGCAGCATTTCTGCTCTCTCCAGCACTTCTGGCACTCCTGTAAAACTGCTATCTCACAGCTACGTATATTTTGTTTAATTAGAAGTAATAAACTTCAACATTTTACCTGTCATTAGGTGGTAAGAGGATCAAATATGGGGTTCCCCAGGAACCTAACACTTTCATACACTCCTTGACTCACCTCCTTTGGTTTTGTTTTGTTTTCCCATTAATGTCAGTGTGTTTGCAATCACCTAGTATCACAAACTGAAACCGTCTATCACAAGAATAAGCAGGTGCACAGCATTTCAATGGAAGTTGCATCACTTCTCTGCTTGTATAACCTTAGCTTCAACTCCAATCATCTTTTTTGATTGCAGCAGAGAAGGCGTGACACTTATTTGGTAATTAAGACCATTTGGTGTGGAAGCAGTATGTAAGGTATGGGATTCCATTTCTCCACTAAAAAACCCTCTTAATTGGCACAAACTTTATTTACCTACAAAACTTTGCAAACTAATAAAAACTAATCAAATGATCATTTGTTAGATGCTTCCTCAGTGATGAACACAGATTACTAGGAAAGTGTAGACTTTTTGCAATGGGTAGAAGGAAGAAAAGCAGCCAGCAGATATACAATCTCTAAGAATCTGCCCATTTCATCCATCTATAGAATATTCTCAATCTACATTTTAACCAACTTCATCCAGAGCCAGTGACAAGTATGAGTCGTCCATTAAGGCTTAACAAGAAAGGCAGGTCAGCACTGACATGCAAAGGCATTCACACAGCACATTACTGAAGAGCAACTATTTTGTCACGTTACAGGAAAAACCCAACTGTTTTCCTAACCAAAGCTGAACAGTTTCAGGGTTGTCTTCCACTGGTTGGAGCAAGGCCACCGGTTGACCAGCCGCTCCATTTCCTTTTATTACAGCACTTTTGAAGCACTCAAGAGACCAATAGTTCTATAAATGTATTGGGTCAGCAATCAAACTGGGATACCATGCATAGCAGCAATAACTATTTCTGAAATCGAATATGAGCTTTCATTTTTTCAACTATAAAGGTACTTCCATATGAGCATTAGACAGCCAACCTTTTACTATTAAAAAAGTTACAAAAACCTCAATCTATTTGCACACTTGCCTCTCCCTCTTATTTTGGGTATCCTATCCAGTTAATGTTTAGAAAATTTTAACAAATAATCTATGGGACTTCTTCCTCCATTTTCCTCAGCCAAAGGAAAAAAAATTGAGAATTCTGAACTTTTATGCTGGTAAAAGACACATGACTTGAGACATGTCAGAAAAATTATTAGTAAAAGTCAACAAGATAAGAATAGAAAGAAAAAAATCCACCCACTATTGCTAGCTTCTCAGTCACACTCGCTCAATTCTCTAATCTGTTCTGCTCTGGCCAGAGAAATAAAAATCTGCCTCTTACTTATTTCAGATCAAGATGTAAGACATAACCGTTTTAAAATCAGCATTCCAACACTGCGGCAGGCAGACAGTAGCAAAATGAGATGCAATCACTGTCTGAACCAGTGAGTGTTTCTGCAACTGCGCTGAGATGAAGACTGCTGCTTCCATCACTGATCATATTAAAGAAGTCATGGAATTGGTTAAGTAACTTGTAAAAAACTTTCAAACCAAGTTTACACACTGACCAGTAACACTGTTACATACTGCTAATGGAAGTGTCAGTTATTAAAACAACGTATAGAAGCCAGCCAGCTCCAGTAAAAAGGGAAACCTTCCCCCCCCACCCCTGTTATATCTTGCTTCTCTTGACACAAGAAATCAGATTTCACAGTTTAAAGTGAAAAAAAAAAAAAATTTCCACTGCACATTTTGAAACATTCAACAGAAATGCAGATGGTAGTCAGAAGCCTGATACATATTTAACCTGGCATATCTCAAGATCCAGTATTTGCTTCTCAATTTATTAACCCACTCCACCAAAATAAGAGTAGAATATGGAGTTATATTTTCAGATCCTGAATAGTTTCCTCGATAACTGCTGATTGTTAGCAACATACACCTGATACCTGGTATTCCTCTATAGATGTCAGAAATAAAACTTAAAAGCTGATACCATGCAACGTTACCATTTCAAGAATAGCCTATGAAATGAGCAAACTTGTAGAAAAAAATTATGGTGCTGTTTAGAAGCAATTAACTGTGTGAGATAATTTAAAAGCAGTAAAACAATTATGTTTTCAGCCCATGCACTAAGTACCAAGGAGGACTACAGCATTCTGAAGTTTCATGTATTAGACAGTGAAGAGGCTTTAGGAAAGACTTGCTCTATCTGTTGTACATCATATAATTACAATGAGGACTTTTGGATATCACCGTTGCATAATTTATAACAAGCTTAAAACTTAAAGATTATGTCTGCTATGTGACCCAGTGAATAAAGCAAAACCAACCAACTAGTGGAGTCCTCCATCTGGTGGCTGGAGTTGTATGTGCATTCTATACATTACTATCTAGTGCTACTAAGAGCAGCATACACCCAGAATTTCAGCAAGTCAGGGCAAAAGGTATACTCTCCTTCATCAAGCTACATACTATGCTGTAGCTCTCTACTATAAAGTACCAAAACTGAAATCATACATGCATCTGTACACTGTGCAAAAGATAAGGTGTTGTTTTCATAGCAGAAAGTATACAAACTTTAATGTATATATTTGAATTATTGTATTTATTAATCAAATTTAAAAAAACCCCAACACACACATTTTATTTTTTATATTTACTGCTTTTCTTTCCTAGATACTTCTGCTACTTTTCAGCAGAAGTGATAAATAACCCTGTTTATTAATTCCATTTAATAACATTCCCAATTTTTTGGCTCTGAAAAATGAATAAACTGGTAGAAGAAGTTTAAACTTAACTGTCATAATAAATACATCCGTATTATGTTTCTTCTTGTATTGTTCATATCAGCGTATTTTACACAAACATTTCCCAGCCAGAATAAAAGCATAATCAACATGATATGCACAACAAACTTAAGGGAAACAGACTTTTCCGTGAACATTTTCCACAGTAGGCTGATTAAAAAACTTTTTTCAGTAACACTTAAACAAACGGACTTCCATACCTTGGCAGCAACAATGCTCAGGCCCATTCCATTTTGTTTTTTTAGTGTTACAGTGATAATTTCAGGTTCTTTCCTCAAAGGCTGAGCCTATCAAACAGGGAAGGAGAATGAAGAAAAAAGACAGGAGTTCATATTCACTGCCAGGCTAGGAAGAGTCCCGTGCACAATAGTTCATCTACAGTCAAAACTACGACAAAGTAAAAATATAAGCAAAGGAAATTAATTCAAAAATTATTAACACTTTGATTAAGTTCATGTATTAGAAAATCAAGTAGCTTTTAAGCTAGGAGTATTCTAGCACTCCTGTGCCAAGGATGGCAGAAGAACAGAATTTGTTCCTGCTTTATTTAAGATTTTTTCCATTAATTTAAATAGAAGCATAATTAAACTAATTGAACCTAAAACATACACACTGGAAAAGGTAAGCCATTAGGGACATAACTTTGCCATTAGTCTATACTGAATTTCTCTTGGTCTAAGAATAAAAAAATTTTTCAGAGAAAATTTGAGGAGGACTGCCTAGCCTGGGCAATTCCCCAGCCTACCAACAGAAGCAGAATTGTGAGACCAGTTTTGGCTTAGGGGAAAAAAAAAAGAAAAAGAAACAAGTAAAAAACCCAAACAACCAAGCAACAAAAAACCTCACAGCTATAAAATGGAACATTTACCTAGTGTTTAGATTATGTAGACATGTTGCATCAAGAGGTGATTTGTGAACTGGCATTTAGAGCACTTCTCAGACACAAGACTAAAGACTTTTAGAACTCTCAAGCTTAGCACATTCAATTAAAATACACACACCAGAGAGAAGGATGATTAGATCAGGTTATTTGAACAGTCTTACATAGTATTCATTTCCATGCATGAATGAAATAGTAGCATCCAATCATGCTGCATTTCCTGATCAAGCCTTTTAAGGAAGACTGGCCAGAACTCTACTTTAGCTTTTCCTTAGTATGAGGAACAGCAAAATCTAGTGTAAATTCAGATTATTTTTGTTTCCACTAGCTCTAAAAAAAAAACAAAAACAAAAAAACCCCAAAAAACCCCACAAAAAAGAGTCACAGAATGGTTTGGGTTGGAAGGGACCTTAAAGATCATCTAGTTCCAACCCCCCGCCATGGGCAGGGACACCCTCCAATGCATTTCTCTTTAAAGCAATAAAGGGAGGAGGAAGAGCATGATGTCTCAAGAACATCTCTGCTGTATTTTCCTCAGTCAAATGCCCATCTACCAAGATGCCAAGCCTGAAGAGCCTGGTTTATCAGTTCAAGACTGGGCTCTACCGTATCAGTCATACAGATTTAGGAGATGCTCTCTTCTGTAAAGTAAACACATTCTTTAGGGCACTGCAGCAAGCCTGCATAATGTCATCTAACAAATGTCGGGTTCTGAACAGAGTAAATGAAGCTTTCAAGTCCCTCTGAATAGTGAGGGGCAAGTATTTTCCACAGAAGGCCTTAGGAACATAATTCTAGTTTCATGCTGGCCTTCCTGGTTTCACTGAAATACTAATTATAAATTTGAAACTATTTCTGTTTAGTTAGTCTAAAAATTATTTCACATAAAGCCACCATCTTGCCACAACCAAGTTGTTCTGTAACTCTGATATTCTTGGCTATCACCTATTAAAAAAAAACAACCCCACGAACAAAAAAATCCACAAAAAAACTCCTACAACAAAAAAAAAGCCACCTCACACTGAAGTGAAATCCTTCTTTAGTAAGTATAATGAAAAGGAAAACTGCAGAATTTTTCCAGAAAACCTAGCAGAAAAAAAAGGATCAATTACAACTTGATACTCAGCATTTAGTTAGCAAGTGCCACTTTATTAATAAAAGCAGCCTGCAGCCCCATTGACATTACAAGTTATTTACAGATGCACGCTCATATATATTTTTTGGTGTGTTTAAAAGACATTTCTTCAGTGTTTACCTCCAGAGTGGGGGAACACGGCAAACAAAGTTTGCTTACGTGAGAATTATATCATGCCACAGCCTAGAAAAACACTGACTTACGAAATCTGCAGACAGTTCTTTAAATTCACCAACTCACTGATGAACTACATGTTTAATGATGAAGCCTGTTCTTCCTAATAAGGATTATAACTCATTCACATAAGATGCAATGGCTTGCCAAGATATCCATTTTGACAATTACTCACTGAATCAGTACTTACTAGCTCAGCATTCTCATGTGACAGGTGACTTTCATAGTCTGCACCTTCAAAGTATATTGTCCATGTGCCTGGTGACCGTGGATGAGGTATTAGTCTACAAAAACCTATAAGAGAAAGTAACATCAACATTGTCATAAGTATCTGTTGCATTTCTCAACTGATTAATTAAAATCAAATAGCCTGCCACAAGGAAATACCAAATAGCAGTGTTTATCTTTTTATATTCATAAGTATGTTGAATCTTGCATCTTACATGCCGTTATGCGCTTCACTGCAATTTTACAATATCTACAAAGTGCTACAGTTCTATAGCTGCTGCTTCTGAGAAACATTATGCATTTAAAAACACTACAAGCTCATCAAAAACTCTTAGGCTGCAAGACATTGCTTGTACCAAGCAGACTCGAGAGACATGTTCTCTGTCAGAATACAAACTACCAGAACTCTGGATAAGACAGCACCACAGAAATCTGCTCTGCAGAGTCTAGCTAACCAGTCTAAGCATAGATTTGGCAGAGATGAAGCCTCACCTGCACTCATTACTTTTTTAATGCAGCTATGCAATTAAAAGTGGGGATTTGTTTGGTTTGGTTTTTTTGTTAATTAAGCAGTTCCTAGAATTTAAAAAAAACAGAGACAGAACAGCTGAGAGACATCCAACATTGTCTCCCAAAGGAGGGACAGTGAGAATACACATCACAGTCAAATTACAAATCACTCCAAATAGATGAGATTCTGCTCCTCACAAAGACCACATTTCAGCAATTCAGTTTACACTGATTTACCGCAAACCAGTTGCTCAGCATAATTTAAGGAATGTCTAAAAAGTAAAATTTTGAATGTATGCATTAAAAAGGCCTTACTTGTAATAACTATACAGACATTTGTGTGGCAAATCAATTACGCTTACTATTAAAGAATTTATCCTACTAGTCTTTAGTCTCAAGACTCTCTAACTCGCTGTACTTTCAAAACAGTTTCCTATTTATCTTTAATGAAAGAATATAGCTTTTCTATAAATTAATAGTCTGCTTTATTGATAGCCTCCTTTGCTGTCCTACCTACCATGATATTCCTGTGGAAATTTTTAAACAACTGCTTTTTCAGCAGAAAATTTTTAAGAAATTATGTAACTAAAAAGCTTCTAATAAAATTGAGCAGCTCAAGATAGGTATCATACCTTGTTCATTGACCGTAAATGTTCTGACAGACTCCCTGCTTTACTTTTTCAAGTTTAGGTCACTTTCATCCAACCACAAGAGCTCTTTACTTGTCATCTGAAATGTTCTTGAACTACAAATGCCCAAACCATACATTCTTATGTTGATGAACGTCAAAAGAAGTATTTTAAGCTCATGTTTTTTTAATGTTATATGGGAGCAGCTGATGAGTTAAAAAAGTGACAACTATTTAATTCACATTAGCTTTAAAACTAAGTTGGCTGTGAAATTGTTGAAGTATTACGAAATTTACATTTATGTAAATTTTTGCAGCTCTACCAAAATCCAAAAAAAAAAAAAAAGCTCTGGAACAAAGGCAAAACAAAGTTTCAGTAGGCACTAATAACCGAGCACTGCTTATTTAAGAAACTTGAAAGTGAAAGAAAGGAACAGGGAGAAAAAGTAAGGATTAAAAAATCTTGAATGCTTTTTATGGGTTGCAAAAGTACACACTTAAAGAACACATTATAAAAAAAGACTGAAACATAGGTAAAGTGGTTTACATTTAACTAAAATATATTTGGTGCTCAGTACACCAAAAAAAGATCATTGTAATATAGCAGAAGAACTGACCTCTCTGACAGAGTGGATCTAAAAATTCTTGTAAACCACTTGGAACATTTCTGACAACGTCGCAGGAATAGCCATCTTCTGGTAAAAGAAAAGGTAGCTGTAAGTCAGGATCCTCTTCTAGTTGGACTTCTCGGCCATCACTGCGAGCAAGTTCATCAGCCGTATTTTCTGCAACAGTTACTACATTCTCTATCAATTCCTGAACAGAAGGCAGAAAGACATTGTTAGTACAGTCAGTACACTGCATTGCTTTATTTGATTAAATCCCATAGATTATGTAGTTAGAGAATATAAAACAGAAGTATCTTTTACTTCCATATTTTCAAAACTCATGGTGCATGTTTTTACTTGATATGAGAGCTGTATTTAAAAAATATATAGCAGAGAACATGCATGTGCAGAGGTGGAATCACAGGCAGTTTAAAATTTTGACACTTTGTATATATACTTCTGAAAGACTAAATATATAGAAGAGAAACAGACAACTTGTATAAACCAGGATTTCCAGCTCGATCAGGACACACATACCCACAGAGGACCAACTGCATATACAGTTCCCTGGTTTGGAAGTTTTATAGAACTAATTTAATTCCTCGTTTCCTGGGAGCTCAGTATAGTGTGAAGGATCCCTTAACGTGGGTATATATTTTTTAAACAACATTGTAGAAGCACATAACATGAGCAGGATCACTCAAGTTGCAGCAGGGAAATTTTAAGTTTTACATTTGGTGAACAACTGTTCTGCTTAATATCACAAAAAGGTCTATGAAACCAGTTTGGTCTTAATCTCATCCCAGTTACATTAACACGCAACTTGGAATCTGTAAGCTTGATACAACAACTTTATTACTGCAGTACAATGCACAACGCAGTTGAGACAAAACTAGGTAAGTGTTCTCATCTGAATGTTTAGTTCCAGCAAATGTCCAGGGGGAAGTCAGATAAATCCAGCCCGTCTTTACAAGTGCTCTTTGAGAAAGCCTTTTTACCATAAAAGGTGGTAATTTTTAGAAGAATTACATCAAACTAAACTATGTAGAAGTAAATACATTTATATTCCTTTGAACAAATTCCAAGCCTTGAAATGTTTCAGATTTGGCAGCAATAAATGAGAGTTTGAGCATACAAGTCTTCTTCACAGCAAGGAGCAAAGAAATCCCAAACACCACTTCACCGCAACAGGACGAACTAGCCATATTGTAATCCTCCCTCTGACACAAAGGCGACCTGGCAAATCTAGCACTATATTTCTTTGGAGGTGCCTAAAGAACAAAAGCAAGCTGTGGATTTCTACCTATATGTAAACAAGAAATATAAACTATGTTCTTCAGCAAAAGACTTTTTGGCTTGGTAGCCAATACATAAAAATATAGCCAAGCTACAAGTACCCCTTAACCCCTTCAGAACCACTGTATTAGTACCTTTGATTTAATAAACAGACATATCCAAAGTTATTAAAAAATAGACTGTGTAGACAATGCATTCAGTTATATAAATATTAGATTATCTTCACCTTTTAAGATTTTTGAGATAAGTAAACTCCTATAATCAGGGTTTACCCTAAGAGTTTTCATCCACATATGATTACAATTCTGCAAGGAACACAAAACCTCTTTTGATTTTTGACAAAGAGGTCTTTCCCATGGATAAGAGTTAGAATAGTCAGTTTTGTCTTAAATATCAAGATAAAAACCATTTCTGAAAACATGTATACCTCTACATACACATTCCATGTATCAATCTGTCTAAAGGACAATCTGTCTGCTGCTTGTATGAAGGGATTCAAGATTCATAAATTCAAGATTCATGAACATCTAAAAAAGCTTAGTGTTCCTGCTTCTTTCATTTGATTTCTATTGTCAAAATTTCAATGTTTGCTCCTTGTAGTTAAATGTAGAACTAGCTTTTGGGAGTACTCTGTACATCTCTCCCTAGTCTACTGCCTTACTGGATTTCATTACTGGATTCCACAAATGGTGTAAGGTGCAGTGACACCTCTCTGAGTATGTTCAAGAGTTACCTTACATTCCAACTCGGTGTAACAGAGATTTTTTGGTAGTATCCTGCTCAAGTTGCAGTGAAGTACACCCACTAAAGCTGGTGGACAGAAGCAGGCTGATATCACTGATACTTCTTATTGTATGGAAAGCAGATTGCCCACTCTGACTCTTCTCAGAACAATTCCAAATTGATCAACAATAAGGTAGCTATTTCAGGCAGTGTTTTAACTTGAAGTCTATACTCCTCAGGTATGTTAAAACAGCACAGTAAGCGACAGAAGAAACTTACTGTTGGGATGAGTGGTTCATCCGGAGCACAGTGATAATTCTGCAACAAAGCTTGTAGCTGCAGAGAATTCAGCTTAAAGCAAGTACTGTTAATATTTGGAACATCTGCATGTGAATATTTGTCCATGGTAAGCAATGTGGTTGCCTAGGAGAAAAAAATAAAAGTCATAGGAGACAAATCCAAGCCAGAATGAAACCTTTAGCCTTGTTTCTGAGTTGTCTTTAGACAAGAGACAGGAAAAGACAAAGCAAGAAGCAAGATCTGTTACAGAAGCAACATAAATATCCCCAAAGCAACCACTAAATAGATCTCCTGCACCTACTGATGAATTAATACTAAACCTATCATAAATGAGGCATATCGATTTTTCAGCTACTCTTCTTGTCTCTGTTCAGTACAGTTAAAGCTCAGTCTTATAACCAGAAACTGAACAGCATGTTGGCTAAAATCACTAATTATTAACTTTGCTTGTAACTTAAATATTAATGATATTGAAAATATATTTTGTGTCTTTGCATGCTACCTCAATGTTCCAGGATTGAGTCACACAAACTACACTTGCCCACATGCTGTTCTCTAGGAACACACAGATATTCTCTTTCAACATACAATTATGTGAGAAGTGTTAATCAGAAATACACACACTCACCTGCACTATTCTGCTCAGGTGGCAATCCGCAGCCAATTCTAAACCCTGTTTTTCTGCCCAGGCTTCAATGTGGCCCAACTGTTGACGAACAATAGCTCCCCAATAATGTGAACATAACCCCGAATCTGGGGCCGTAACTAATCTGTTAAAAAGCCACATGTTGATAAAATGAAACAGCTGGGAGAAGAGCTGTATAGTCAGAGCAGCATTCACTCTACATCGTCGCAACAGGGACATAGCTCCAGTCAATGTATGCAGCACATCATCTACAGAGATAAAAGAAGTAGTAAATCACATTCACATACTACAATGTACAACTGGTTAAGGCCATAAATAACAATACAGAGACACCTAACCCAGGCTTGTGAATGCTAAGTAGAAGCTACATGTATTGAAGTTACACAGACTCTCAGAAATAAATTTATTGTTTCATGCTTTTCAAGATGGAGCAACATTAAACTGACAGCTGAAATATGTTTAACCCCTGAAATGAAAATAAAGACTTTTGGGGAAATATTTAGTATACAAGTATATCATTGGTTATTTCTGACATTTAAATCACTTCTCACTTGAGTAAGCTCTTTTTTTCTGTTATTTTTAATAACAAGTTAAAAATCTTTATATTCTACTGTTTCAAATGCATAATGCAATTATTCCATAACTCCTTGCAGATAAGTATCAGACTGTATTCAAAAATTTCAGCAAAAGCTATTTGCATTGCATGATGTAGTTAAACTCCAGAATACATCTCCTGTTACACATTAGATTTTTAAAATATTACTCAAATTTCCTATTCCCCAATAGTTCACTGCAATATTAGGTATGAAGCAACAGTGTCTTCCTTTTAGCTTCACCAAGATCAAACATCCTTATGTGCTTCCTGGTGGAATATATTAATGCAAGTAGAACATTTATCTCCAAGCCTTCTTTTAAGGCAATACTGTTCTCTGAAATCTCTATTGAAGAGACCACCAAAATAATTTCTTTAAAATTTAAACACAGGATTGTGACTGAACAAAGTTATCTGTATAAGACAGAAATCTATAAAGCTGCTCAAAAATGACTGAAGCAGTGAGCATCATCTGCCTTTATTCCAATGTTAATTTGCTACTTTTTCAGGGTTCATGTCCCAGAAAGTTCTCTCTTAAAATACAGGGCCCTAACAAAACAAAACAAAAAAACCAACACAACACAGTACATCTTTATATTCTTCCTTCAGTGTTCAACACCGGAAAAAAGTGTAATACCCAAAAGACCAGGAAGTATATATAAATTTTGTATAAATACTCTTCATAGTTGAACAGAATGACTGTACTTAATAGCTCTGCAGATCATCTTTACTTCAATTATTCAAAACAACACTATTTTCTTAACTCCTCCCAGCCTTTTATCCCTGGTTAATCCCTTCAAACTTGAATATTTTTCACTTTTTTTCCATTTTCTTCTTTAGTCATCAGGCTACATAATGTAAGAGGCTCTCACATTCCCCATGAAAAGCACAACAGGGGGTCTTATCTCAAAGGCCTGTGCACGAAATGCATTCAGCATGGAAAACAACAAGAGGCATTAGAAGTCCAAACACAGTCACTGAGCTGGGATTACAGACACAGCATACATGATCAGAATGCTCTCATGGACAGGAGCAGCCCAGAAAGGCTGACATGGCTGCAAAGCTCTATCATATTTAAAGTATCATGGCAGGGATCCTTGGTAGGAATCTACAAGGCTGGTCAGCTTAACCTTAGTAGCTGGGAGGTACTTTTGTCAGATTCTCCCATAGAATCCTTATAGCGAAACTGCTGAGATAAAGACTGGATAAGTAGACGATAGAGAATTGGCTGGACCACTGAACTTGGTGGATTTGTAGATACGAAGTCCAGTTGGCTATTAGTGGCTTCCTTCATGGACTGAGCCTGAGACTGATTCTGTTTAATGACTTTATCAGTGATCTGAGCGACTGGACGGAGTGCATTCTCAGCAAATTCACAGACGACACCAAGCTGGGGGGAAACATTGATACACTGAAGGGCAGCAGTATTTTTCAGAAGGGCCTCAGTAGGCTGGGGATATGGGCTGAAAGGGACCTTATGAAGTTCAAAGGCAACTGCGAAGTCCTGCATGTGGGAAGCAGTAAGTCTATGCAACAGTATAGGCTGGGTGCCATCCGGGTAGAAAGCAGCCCTGCCGAAAATGATGTAGAGATCCTGGTAAACATCAAGTTGAATGTGATTAAGCAGCGTGTCCTTGCTTGAAAGGTAACCAGCTGCATACTAACCTGTTAAGTTAGCAGCAGTGAAGCTAGCAGAAGGGAGGGAAGCAATCCCTCCTGTGCACTCAGCATTTGTGAGACTGCATCTGGAGCACAGCATCCAGCACAAGAAGATATCGATTTAATGGAGCAAATTCAGCAGAGCCACCCAGATGATTAGGAGGCTGGAGCAAAGGACATGAAAGAGGGACAGAGAAGTGGATTTGGTTCATGCTGGGGAAAGAGAAGGCTAATGGCACAGCTTATTGCTGTCTGCATCTTCCTAACAGCAGGGTTCACAAGATCCCTCTCAAAGGTGCACAGTGATAGCAAACAACAACAGACAAACCAACACAAAAAATGCAACATGTGAAATTCCAATTAGATATAGAAAAAGTATTTTCACCATGAGGGTGATCAAATGTCGGAACAGGTTACTCAGAGATGTTGTGGTATCTCCATACCTCAGTGGAGATTCAAAATTCAACTAGGCAATACTCTGAACAACCTGATCCAGTTGCACCTGCCTCGAACAAGACACTGGATTAGATAACATCTAGAGGTTCCCCTCCAAACTAAATTATACAACGATTTTTAAACCTAAAATAGATCATTTGAATGTCACTACTGTCCTTTCTTATCATCCATACAAAATTGATCCAAACAATTTTCAGGGGTTAGGGCAACTTGTAAATCTCATATCAGTTAAGAAAAATTCAATTTATTACTACTTAATTGTATGGTTTAGAAGACAGAAGAAAAGATCAAGTAGTCTAACCTATTTTAGGCCTCTGAGGATTATTTTCCTCTGGATCATCAAGGAATGCTGGCATGTAGTTATTAAGCTCTGATTGCAGACAATGAACCAGGTACCTGGAAGAAGGGGGGGAAAAAAGATATTTTAAAACCCTGTATGTGTTCATTATGAATGCTTCTAAAGAAGAGAGATCTATCAAATTACAAGATTCCTGAAATCACAGTGTTATGTATGCGACTATAGGAAATCAAATAATACTTTTTAAAAGGCGAGAGACCAGTTCTCCCATACCTTTTCTAGAAATGCTGGAAAAAGAATTAGGTTGTCAGCGAACAAACACAGCAACTTAAATGCAATATCGCCACCACACTTGTAAGTGAAGGTTATATGCTACATAAAGACATGCTATCAGGCCAAACTTTGGTTCCATAAGACTGCAAAAACTATTTTTTCCAAACAGAAATACTATTTTCTCTGTTTTAAAATTGACCAAGTGCAGCATTAAACCCCCTAATTTTCCTGTTCGGAGCCAATACACAACATCCTGAAATGGCCCTACTGTTTTCTGTAAACAATTTTTTGATTTTTATATTTCTCTTACCTTTGACTACAGTGAAATGAAAAGCCTGTTTTAGTATTCTTTCTCTTCTAATAATTAAACATTTTCTTTAACACTGTTTCTGATAATTCATTTATATATTTTCTGCTAAGAATTGAAACTAAAAGGGAATCAAATTGTAGTCATCTATATAAAGGAAAATATTTCATGGCTTTCTACAATTCCCCTTTCTGTTTCACTAGTAACTTTTCTAGTTTAATATCCTCAATTGCCAGAAAACAAAAGCCATGGCAATTTCAACCAATTCTGGTGTGTACCAATTGTTACCATCAATTAACATTTTCACAGCAGATTCCTTTCTTCTCATGCTTCTGATGTGCTTTTTTATTTGACTTCTACACACATATTCCACAGTTCTGTTCTCGAAAAGTTTAATAAATCAAATTTGCTGAGAAATACTTGTTTAATACTGGCTTGCAGGGGGAATAGAAATATGTACAAAACCAAAGCTTTTCTTTTTGATTAGCACTCTGCTCAATGTTGTTATCTTTGTTTAAGGATCCTCTCCTCAGAGTACTTCCCTTCCCATTGAATACTTCATTCGATTTTTCCTTTAATCAGTATTGTAATTGCCTGAGCTGACTAGCATAGGTTGATTTTACCACAAGCCAAAACTTGTCTTTACATTTTTAAGAAAAAATGTGCAAAACAGCCACTGTGCAAATTGCTATTTATGCATATTATGAAAGGAGTAGATCATGAATATAATTAGAAGCCCTTAAAGAGCTCAAGGTTCGTTACTTTACAGACCCATGAATATTTAAGCCTATGTCAGCAAAAATAACCTTTCCTCACATCTCCAGGAAAACCTTAAATTAAGAGAAAGCAATCAACACAAACTAAATTTAAATAACATTTCCCTAAAATTTGTATTGGCAGCCTCAGCTATCACAAGAACAGCTAACAGATGAAACTCCTTGCATAGCCCACTGATCCATTATTCATAAAACAAAATACCTGTCTAAAGGAGTGAGTCTAGCCTCTCCTGTAAGTCCTCCTCTGAGGTATTTAACAATACACAAAAGACATTATTGCTATACCTAAAATTTGGCAAAAAAGCGACGTTATTCTAGAAACTACAGAAACACAGAATACGTTAAGTGAAACAGAAGTTTGATAGCCTTACTTGAATGCCATTTGAACCAAGTGTGCCAAAACATCTTGTGCATCCACAGTAATTCGGCTAAGATCTCGGTCTTGCTTTATGAAGTTCAGTAATTCAGATGCATTTGCCATCCAAAAGGCAAGTGCCCCGGCAATATTCTTCTGCTTCTACAAGTAGAAAGAAGCGAAAAATAATACAGGGAAATAGTTTTCTGATAAAGCACGGCAGCTTAAAAAGGCTCCAAAAGATAGACCAGTACCTTTTCCCATTTCACCAAACATATCTCAGATACCAGATATTTGCAAAATGTTTATAGGTAATAATGCAATTGCTGTAACTGGTAAGTTCAATTTTAACACATTCACCGAACATACAAAATTCTGTTAAATTGCCAATAGCCATAACAATAATGCCACGGCATAAGCATCTAGTTATAGAGTGCTAAAAGCTTAGCAGATTTCAGTATCTGGTAATCTGTGCACTTTTAAGCGTACATTCACTACTGCCCACTGCCACTCCGATACTGCGCTCACTGGCTTTGATACCAAGTGATTCAGTATCAAGTACTGATCTATCTCACCATCTCCCGACCACAAATGCCAGGCCAGGCAACCTCAGATGAAATCCAAAGAATAGGAACCACAAACAACAACAAAAGAAAATAAAGGGAAGAAAAAGAACTTTGGTCATTTCATATCCACATTGAAGTGCGTTAAGCAGAAATTATGGAATGCCGTAAAAGTTGCAAAGTCAAAAAAGGATTTTAGTACTGCATGTTCCAGTTGCTGAATGAGTGTTATGACCCGTTCAAGTCCAGCTGTTTGAGTATTGTATTTTGATATGGAAGCAGCATGAGAAACTGAGCTAAGCCAACATAGCTAGGATCAGTTCCCAGCAATATATCCTACCTGATCAACCTGGTCTACCTCCTGGAGAAAAACGGACGAAGGAAATCAAACAGAATAGAAGAAAGAAACTTGTGAACAATCATGATAGCTTTAGAAATCAAACACTAAATATGAAGGTACAACACTTATGTTCACAGTTATACACAGATGCATTAATCAGTAGCTACGATGCAACTGAGCTCCTTTTAAAAAATGAATTATTTTAATAGGACTAGTAGCACAACAGCTAAGAACTGAAGTGCCCACACATCACAATTACTTCAAGGAATGCCCTGTACTAGTCGACATCCCAGACTAGCTGGTTATTCCACGCTCAGTGCACCACAGAAACCCCACAGAACTTTTTGCAGGCAGCGGGGTAACCAGCCATCCAAGTAACAGATCCAGGGAGCTATTTGCCCACCCTTTGCAATGAAGACAATGTACAAACACACGCAAAGGAGGACAGATAATCCCCACCAGGGAAAAACAAACAAACAAACAACAAAACCAAACAAAAAACACCTAGGACAGATTTAATACATGGGTTTTTAATTAAAGAACAAGACTGTTTTAAACAACAAAAGAGAGTCAAACGAAATACCACACTAAGCTGCTTAAATGTTAGTACATAAAAGCTACACTGAGTTCAGCAAATAAAAACCCATGAGATAAATTTGTCTGATTATTTAAAACTGAACTCTTAATTCCTTTCGGCTTTCTATTCAGACCACTCTCCCCCACCTGCAACACAGTGAGCTTAGATACAAAAATCTGAGCTGTTACTGTTTTAATTTTAGTTGGAGCTCAAAAAACCAAATTGCCACTGCTTTTATGTTTTTTCCCCCTTTCCAACCAACGCACTCTGAGCTGACTGAAGACGTGTTGGCACAGAATGAAAGGAGATGCTCCTTCTCCAAACAACTGTTAAAATTTGCAGAGGATCAGAAATTCCACAGAATGATTTGAAAAAAGTATCAGGATACAAAAAAAATTGTCTTTTTTATACGAACTGAGTTTCCATTCCTAGATATTTACTGAAAGCATTGACGCCTCTCGTAGATCTCTCCAATTTTATCCCTATCTCATATGAAGTCTTCTATAACATTTGCATACACTAATGCAAAGACTACAAAAAGTCACAGACTTTATTTGTTAGCAAGTCCTTCTCGAGTAACTTCAGAAAGCTATCAAGTCTCTTTATGACCTAGGCAGGCAAAATTAGGATCTAAACAATTTATTTTACTCTCACAGTACAGCACAAGTTTTTGCACCTTCCCTCTACTTCTCTTGTGCCTCTCTCCCCTGACCTCCCATGTGTCTTCCCCATCTTCCACACTCTCAGACCACTTTCAGTGCGGGCATCTTTTACAGTCAAAACACACAAAAAAAAGCTATTGTGATACAGCGATTTATTACATGGTAGTTTAACTGCGACAGCCATCAATACAATGACTCATTGTACAGCTTAGATGAATTAATTTGACTTAGCTTAGCTAATACTGTTTATACTCCGCTAAGACAGGTCCAAGCGAACAACATTTTCCTGGTCAAGCTTTAGAATCAATGCATTTCTTTGTCTCCAGCCCATTAACCTTCAAATTCACTGAAGTTTTACTCTTTCATCACATTTGTACTTTTCCCCCTTTCCTCCAGCTTCTTCAGCATGACATATGGAAGAATCTCCTCCCAGTTTTCTTCAACCTCCAACTCTTTGGTTTATTTCTTGCAACTAGATAACAACTTTCACAAATCACAAATGCAGCTATCACTTCCTTGTTCATGTCTTCCTTAAATTTTAGGTTGGAGATTAGACTGCAACTAAAGCGTTGCAAGGCTGTAGAAACAGCCTTTCGCTAAGGGCAGTCCAGACAAACACTTGGTTTTAACAGTTTTGTAATACTATTAGCTGGATTATATAAAGTACACTTGCTTGCAACAACCACAAAGCTGGACTTGATTTGGGAAGCCCTTCTCAGTGCTGTAAATGAACATTTTCACAGGATAATTTGTTTTCTAGCTTTGATTTGTTTTCAAATCAAACTGATGTTTGAGCCCACCACTCTAGTATTTTCTGTCAGCTAGATGGTTATCCATTTTAATTCAACAGAAGGAATGAAGAACTTTATTTCTGCTTTCCCACCCGTACCCATCCCTGTCACCCCAAGTCTTTTTGGGGTCATTGTTCCTAGTTTACATTAGTTATATAAACCAAGTGACTTTCTTTGATTCAGCCCTGTAACTTCCAGATTATATTTGAGCCCTACCCTTTGATTGTTTAATTCCCACTCTCCCAACTAAACTGCTTATGTTCAGGCTCTTTGCATTTCATGTTCTCCACTACTGCACCAGTCTGCCCTCTGTCTTCAACAAATTCACTCTTCCACAGCCAGACTGTTATTGTTTTTTAATAGCAGAACCTGAATATTTAACTTTTGATACCATTTCAATTTATCAAATATCCATTTACCACAGCATCAAGACTCAAAGCAATGTACTAGTTCTTCACTTCAGATTCAAACCACCTTTCAACTTCTCACCAGCTTCAGAATATACATGGAAGGCTAGTCTTTGTTTTCTTACTGTAAAGTGTCTTAAACACTGGCATTTTCTCCCACTCTTTCTTGTGAGAAGTGGGAGCCTGCTGCAACTGTTTGCAGAGCTGTCTAATTATAACATCCCCCATACTGAAAACTCCACTAAATCTTTCTAAAACCTGAACAAAAGCTGAACAGTTTTGGTTTGCTGTGACTTTCATGCCACACGCTTGTTGTTTACTTTCCTCTTCTCCCTTAATGGGCCTGTTGTATAACACTTGCATAGTAAATTCTCTGAAGCAGGACTGATGTGTTTGTTATGCTCATACAGCGCCTAGTGCAGCAGGGTCCTTGCTCTGTACAGGCTACTATGGCAGTACTTTTTGCAATAAACATATGTTTTAAAAAAAAACAGAAATACATTTCAATTTTTCCTCTGAGAAAAACCTGCAAAGAAGTTACAATAATTAATTAGTTAGTGAAGATACCTGAGCTAGCACTCCTTTTTCAGGAAAAGACCGTTACATTTTGTAACGGTTACACAGCGCAAGGATTGTCTAATTTCAGACAACCCAGTGGATCATATCCCGCATTTCTACACAAAACAGAACTCCTCCAGTGCTTCTGTCGAAGTCTTGCACATGTAATAGTAATAGCATCAGACCACACGTAAGCTGTTAGAACATTTGAGAACTTCTATTTCTCTTTATAAAGCAATTGTGTCAGCTCAGTTCAAAAAGTCCAGTTTTATTACCATTTTTGTGGTTACATAAATTGTAAAAGTAACAGGATCAAAATTAAAAAGTCATGTTTCTTTTTAATATGTTCAAGCATCAATCAGTGCAAACAACTGCTATCAATACGATATTCTTTAATAAGCACATTCAACTTGTTTTGTAAGAGCTCACAGCCAGGAATGCTTGCAAAGATCTTACCTCCTAGAGAACAGAAGAATAACTTCTTGTCAGAGAACATATCTCCAGAGCAACAGCCCCTCCCTAACCTCCCACACTGCTCAAGAGAGAGTTTCTTACCATTCACATTCATTGACACAAAAGCAAATCTTCATATGGACAATCAACACAGGTATTACACTGACCCTTAACAATAGTTACTTAAACACTAAAAAAAAAGACTAAGAAGGTTACTAGATAATCTACAAGATCTATTTAATTCCCTTGACATGTTTTCACAGAGAAACTCACCTGTATAACTCCTTCCATCATGTTCACCATCTTGTTGACTATTGCAATGACTTTGTGAGTACGCTCAGTAGGAGTGATGTCAGGTTTGTACTGGCTTGACAATACATACCGACATGTCATATACAAAACATATGTAGGTGACAGCTTAAAATGAACTGTCGAGCTATTTGTGTAATTTATAATGGCAGATAAGAAGGCATCTTCAGCTGTAGAGAAAGAGGAGAAAAACATGTCATGAAGCCAAAGACAGAAAGAAAATGAAATAAAACAATTTCATAACTTGAGGCATATACGATTTCTTTTTTTTTTTTTTGGGGGGGGGGGGGCGCGACACGACACACGACAGGGGAGCACCTTACAGGAATTTGAACTCTAAATTGTTTATTATGTACTACAGTTACTTAGGCATAATAACAACACACTTCTATATAAAGCCAGAAAATCTAATCGTCAGGAAACATTTGTGTACTATTTCCTATCTCTCTGCTGAAAATGTGTATCTTCAAGGGAACAGGAAAACGCAAGTTTCTCCTGTCCATTCTATTCCTACAAAGCTCCCCTGTTATAGGGAATTTTATACTAATAAAAACCTGTCTTTGCTGGTGCACAAATCTATTTAGTTTGAAATATTTGAAGTCTGGACAATTTCTGGCGTGACATTTTTCTACCAGATCTGAGACCTTAAAAACCTGGGAACCAAGATAACAAAAAATTAAGCTCTAAATGAAAATTTAAACTTAATCAGATTTTACATAAAATGGATTTTGACCAAGATGCAATCTATCATCCAAGGCATGGAGAACTGTATAGAAGAAAATAAATTCAATGTACTGTTGTGGAGGTGGGATTAACAAGTTTTCACAGTTAAATTTGAATAGCTGAAGATAAAGAGTTGAAATGCAATTAGAGTTAGATATGCATGAACCTGCCTCAATCCCCAAAGTGTCTGTTCTCCCCAACAAAATAAATTATATTACAGGATTAGCTATTATCTGTTTAGTGATTATTCTTCTCAACGTTTACTTAAATTATCCTTAAGTTTTTAAACAGACTGAAGTATTACATTATAGAAAAACGTGTCAACGGGTTAGTGTTATAACTTTACAATTTACTCACAACTTTCCCTGAATTCAATACTGGCAGGTAGTATCAGTTCTGGTCCATGGGCATCCTGAGGTCTACAGAAAGAAGACAAAGATTGAAACAAACAATCTCCATGGGTGATATTAATTGCACTGTAAAATAACAGATTTCTCCAAATACACTGGTTCCAAATGCTGACACAACATCCTTCCCCAAAATGATCCTTTTTTTACCTTTCCTCTAGAATCATTCAAGCTATATTCACCCACAACACAACAGCTCAAAACACAGACTTGAACTGTGGAGTCTGTGATATTAATGAAGATACTCTTCTGCGCTGTACAGCAGACTGACAGGATCCGTTTGCCATCTGCCACTAACAGGATCAAAATAACAAATTATTCATGGACACATGAAAGAATACGAATGAAGCTTCACCTGAAAGAGCTCAGTTACAACGTGTATTTTGCTCTCTGTAGTACCCTCAAAACCAATGACAACTTGGTCAACTTAGTTGTCCTTTCTTCTGATAAGGAGAAAAAGGAGGTAAAACCTAGCCCTACCCTCACCTGGCTGTTGCTATGCTATGTTAAGAAACAGCAGTCATTTCATGAGCCCCAGAACTATGTCCTCACTTATCTGACTGCAGCGTTCTCTCTTATTAGTACCTATCAGAATTCACAGAGGTCAAAAATGAACATAAAATTGATTTTTCTGGTGTCTACAAAAGGTTAAGCACATATTTCATTCCTCCCTTAAGCAAAAGCATGAATTGAGCTGTTCTCTGAAGTCAGGCATCTATTTTTCGGAAATATGTAAAAGCTTAACATCTTCTGCATGCAATAGACATTTTTAACCACATGTAACAGAACAGGTAGCTTTCTACTTTCCCCAGCAACTTTGATAAAGAAAGGAATGAATGTAATATAATTATATAAGCCTCACTCTCCTGAAAAATTTTAGTTATGCCACAAAGCAGAGATAGGACGCTGAAGGCTTTTAATCAGCTGTCTCCTGCAGTAAAAATCCACAAGGTAACTTTGAAGGCTGATGTCAAAAGATCTAAAACTCAGTTTTAGAATATTCAATCAAAAAAAACTACTGGTACCTTTGGAGTTTGGTGCTTTTGGTTTTTAAACCTGCAAAAACTTAAATCAACAGAGAACTCAGGCCATCTAGAAAATGCTTTTTTATAAAAAGAGCTCAGCAAAATAAAGTTCTGGGGAGCTGAAAGTTAAGGAACAGCAGGCACAGCAGGGCAATATGTACACAAATTTCTGCCAGTTCAGTTACATTTCAAACATGACAGCACACTCTCTTTACGAAGAACGCTCAGCTGTGTGTAAAATGTAGCATTTCCTCTGGTTTTATTGCCATAAATTTAAGATGAACTAATTTCTCACTACCTTCACACTATCAAAAGTGCATCGTCTTCACTGAGGACTTAATTACTTCCATAGAAGAATAACTAATACTCACACAGCATTGTCAAAATAGAACTATAGTGACAACTCCAGAGAAATTTTTAATCTGTCATTACAGGAATGGTAATAAGATAAAGCAATGTTTCAATAAACTGGCTGGTAAAGCAGTGACAGATTTCAGCTGATGATTAATTCCCTTTTCTTGAGAAAAAAAAAGATAATGTTCCCTTTCAGCACAAAGGAACGAACAGGAATTGCAGTCTTCCCTCCAAGGGGAGGGAAAGTCACACAAAAGATGAGACCTGATACAGATTAGTGCAAGACTGCTTACAGAATTTTGGAAATTGGCAAATTCTGCTTACAGAATTTTGGAAATTGGCAAATTTTCCAAATTTGGAATTTGGAAAGGGAGAAATGACTATGAAGTAGGAAAAGGAGAGACTTCTTTAAAAAAATGTTAATTTAGTTTTACCTGTGTATTTTTTCTCTAGGAACGGATGTAGTAAATTATTTTAGCTACCTTAAATATGAGTTTCCTTCAACTACTGTACCATTTTATGCCTTCCCTAAGCATGCACAAGAAATACTCTCTAATTAAGCTTTGCAAATTGGAAATTTAAGTTAAAATAACCTTTTGTACTTCTGATATGATAGCAGCTAGCCAACCTGCTTCATTACTGGATACATTTTAAGTATATATTGTCTTTGTGCTATTGCTTTTACAGAAAAATCCTCTCTGTGGTGATGAATTTCTCTGAGCTAAACCAGGCTGAAAGTCTAGTCAGGGTGTCTAGCAAGGACATAAAATATTGATTAGGGGTTGGTTCCTCTCTGTAAGTATAGTGCCAGGTAATATTACACTTTAAAATTGCATTAAAAAACAATAATACATTCTCCAGGTATTTCTGTAATCTCCTAGAATAATTGTCTATGATAAACTATGTTTAAAAAAACCCCAGATACAAAACTCAGTCCTTGTGTGGTTGTTTTAGCCAGCATACTAACTATGTATAAATTATTTAAGGCATGTTAAAATTAGGAATCAGGTAAGTGTCTGCATTCCATTAACACCACTTTTATATCATTAGTCTCATTTCCAACCGAACACATTTTTAAGAACTCCTGAAAAGTATCCAAGGCAAAAAAATAATCTTTTTTTCTTTTTTATTATATGCTTGCTCATGCTAACTGAAGACAGTTATCTAATGAGGATGTATGACCATAATCCTTAACTAAATAGTCATCATCTTTTATTTCACAGAATCACATTTCACATAAGTAAATTAGAATTATGCTCTCAATTATTTTTTCCTAGAGACTAGAAATGAGAACATCAGGCAGCCAAGTTCTAATCTTTGGTGTTCAATCCATTCAGTGAGTGATTGGAAGAAAGTCTTATTTGCCTTATTATTCACCTTTAAGCAGCAGTGATGAACACACACAAAAAGAACAGAGAAGGACACTTTGTACAGAGGTGGACTAGTTATACAGTAACAAGAGCCTGGAACTATTCAGTGAAGATTTTTTTGTTTTTCAGACTAACATAGCAGTTCTTTCACTCCATGATTACTGTCCTTACAGTTCACAAAAGACCAGAGTATCCCAAAGGAAGTCTAACTAAAGATTCACAAAATACATCCACAAAGGGGAAGAATTTGGTTTACGGGAGCAACTCATTGCATAGAATTTCTTAATTTGACAGCTGGACTTTGCTAATTTGTTAGTCTCAACACAGTGAATATATAAGAGAAAGAGCATGTGATAGAAATGCTGTATTTAGATAAATAACTTTCAATGTAATTACACAACACATACTATTCATATATAAGATATATACAGAAATAAAATACCAATGTCAACGTTGGTGATAAAAAAAAATCTCTGCTGGTTTAGCTATTGCAAATCTAAGTGTAATTTGGATGCCTCTCTAAAAACATTTTTTGCACACAGGCACCAAGGTGAAAAAAAACCCATGTGTACAGTAACAGTAAGACTAGTATGCATATTCCCTTCAGAAGGAATTTTAAAAGTTTTTTTAAAAAACAAAAAAAAGCCAAGCTGCAGCTCAAAAATGGCTCTATATTTTTGAAATATACAACTATAGCACAAGATATTCCTCTTTATAACAAGTTCTCTTGCTGAAAGGCAGAAATACAGAAATTTAATAATCTTCATACACATAAAAATGCACAGCTAGAACTCAACAAATATTAACAGTAAAAGCCTCAAGAACTTCTGACAAGCTATAAAAAAGTTCACAAAGAAGTTTCGTTGATCTTTTATGAGAGAGGAAAATTACACTTAAAACATTAATAATTCAACAAGGAGGAGTTAAATCTTCAGCAACCTTAATAAAAACAGTTCTGAAAGATACTCAAGATGCCCAGGCACTCTAACAAGAGAATGCAGAGTAGAACTGAGTTGTATTCTACTGTAACGTCACTGAAGGCAGTTAAAAAATGTCCCTGCTACAAACACTAGACATCAGGAATTCAGTTCAGGTGGAATCACAATTTTCTCCCCCCCCCCCTTTTTTTTTTCTTTTTTCTACCACTCAGATCTCAGAACTCTGTTTTCTTTCTAGTGAATAAACCCACTTAAAGGTACAGGAAAAGCTGCATACTAGAAGCTTTACAACTTGAATCACTGCATTTTTTTAACCCTGCAGCACATTTACCTTACCTTTCATCCATTTATCGTAGCAGTTCATCTAAATTTAAAAGCTGATTTATGTAGATAGCTATACGATCTTGTATTTTTCCTACGATTTGAAAAAAATCTTTTCACAGAATCACAGAATCACTGAGGTGTGAAAGGACCTCTGGAGATCATCTGATCCAACTTCCCTGCTCAAAACAGTGTCAACTTGAGCAAGTTGCTCATGACCTTGTCCAGCCAGTTTTGAGTATCTTCAAAGATGGAAACTTCACACCCTCCCTAGGAATATGTTCCAGTGTTCAATCACTTACACACATTAATAAGATCCACCCTGATCCTTCTTTTCTCAAGGCTACGTAACTCAAAGTCTAGATACCCAGTCATTCTTTTCATAAACATGTTCTTTTTATCAGAATTGACCAAGATACTGGACTCCACAGAAAAAAACAATCACAGAGAAGCCTAAGTTGAAAAAGACCTCTAGAGATCATACGCTCCAACCTTCCATTCAAAGCTTCATCCAAGGTTATCCAGAGTGTTGTCAAGCAGAATTTTGAAAATCTCCATTGAGGAAGATTCTACCAGTTCTCTGGCCAACTGTATCGGGTTTGCGTGGCAAGGTTTTGGT